AATTAGTTTTCCATTGACAAATGCACTATCTTGCTTCCTGGTTTAGAGCATCAAGCCATATAAGAATGGTGTTCTTACCTTAAGTTCCTTCGGACGTAAAGTACGAATACTTAACAAGATTGCAACGACTAATACGACCTTTACTTCTTAACCGGCAAGAATGTTAAAGAAACAACTGTAGCTCAGTTACTGGCGTTCCTAAAGTGTCAGCAACTAATGAAAATCTATTTACAAACTGTTTGTCTGGCCTTCTAGATTTGACTGGCGTGTTGCAAAACGTACACGTCCAAGCTGTGCCAACAAGCCATCATCCCCCCTTCACTAATGCAGTTGGCGTCGCTATCCTCAAACTAGTTACGCCGCAAGTTTCTGTTTTACAGTATTACAGCATACTCCACTAATATAGAAAGGTGAGAAGAGACAAAAATAACATACAAGAAAAATGTTAAATAAATCTATTTCAGATTAACTTAATATTCGTGCAAAGACAAATTACTGGTAAATATATTATTCCATTAATATAATATTTCTTTGTGTTTTTACTTCATTCTGATGTGTTGTTACATGAATGAAATTGATGAACTATTACGCTTCATTCCAGTTTTCACTGTAACTTTTGTTGCCAAGCGATATGCTAATATCCATAGCGCCTCACCACTATTGTATTCTGTCGCATCTCGGCCGGCCTGAAGAACACTGGGACTAAACGAAAGGCCTCATCGGCACTGGATATAGCAGATATGTAGTTATTATGTACTCTTCTTTACTTTCATTCAGTTCTTATTAATAACTGAAAATAGTCACCATTGAAACAACTTCCAATACCTCTTATGCAAGTGTCAAAACCTACGATAATAAAATGGTATATTTCATGACAATAGAGTGTTGTTTTTTTCATCGTAAATCTCGTGACTTTTTTATAACTCAGAAAAATCAAGTAATATCTCTTCAGGCTTAGAGTGAGACTCTGGTAAAATACTGTATCTTGTCATCTGGCGTAGAACTTTGGTTAACACTTTCTGTTATCGTTCAGGGTATGGTTTTGGTTAAGTACTTTCTCTTGTCATTCAGGATAAGTCTTTGGTTAAGTACCTTATCTTGTTGTTCAGGGTATGGCTTTTGTTAACTACTTTCTCATGGTATTCAGAATAATTCTTTGGTTAAGTACCTTATCTTGTTGTTCAGGATAACTCTTTAGTTAAGTACTTTATGCTGTTGTTCAGGGTATTGCTTTAGTTAAGTTCTTTCTCATGTGTTCAGGGTATGTCTTTTGTTAACAACTTTCTCATGGTGTTCAGGATAAGTCTTTTGCTAAGTACTTTATCTTGTTGTTTAAGATAACTCTTTGGTTAAGTGCTTTCTCTTATCTTTCAGGATAAGTCTTTTGTTAAGTACTTTATCCTGTTGTTTAAGATAACTCTTTGGTTAAGTGCTTTCTCTTATCTTTCAGGATAAGTCTTTTGTTAAGTACTTTATCTTGTTGTTTAAGATAACTCTTTGGTTAAGTGCTTTCTCTTATCTTTCAGGATAAGTCTTTTGTTAAGAAGCTTAAAAATACTTTGCAACCAACCGCCATTGCTGAAAATAAGCTTGACTTCCTTGTTGTCATACAATTTACACGTCATAGACACTCCTCCACACACAAGGTTGACGTCACGTAACCTCGAGCTCATCAAGGACATAAAAGTTGGCACACAAACATAAACATTGTAACCAACTGTTGGGGGTGAAAAATAACAACAAGTTTGTAACAAGCTCTGCGACAACAAGTACTCGTGACAAGATTCTTACCTCGAAAAACGACGTTCGAAAAAAATGCGGTATTTAAGTTATTTTGTGGTTGTTGGTGTTCTTTTATCATCAACTTCTTGAAGATGAAAATATGAAAGATTTGCTTATCTTTTTGTTTCAATTTGATTATTTCCTGTTTATTAACCTGTTTTTGAAGTGTTCTTTTTTTCATTTGTCAAAAATCAAAGATCATTCAGAGATTAAATAATATTCGATTAGATCCTGACCAATGATTTCAGATCAGAAGGTTGCGAAGACCAGATATAGGCCTTTGTTATAGTCTATACAATTTCCTAATGTAATTATTACTTAATAACTTTTTCATTTGTGGATCATAGTTAACTGTTTATTATATCCTATATTTTGGCTGTTAATCTGCTACCACCTCTAGTGAAATAGACAAGTGAATAGTACGCCAGAATTTCCAACAAGAATACCTAGGATCAAAGACGACAACAGATAAAATAATAAAAGTAATAATTACTAACAATTAATTAGGCTTCGGTGATTTTATAAGGCAATAATGGCAACGATTCTTTTACACCATATATAAAATAACAGAGTTGACCTTTCTGATTACAACACATGCTGTAAAGCTGTTCCTGTCTAAGCTTCTCTAGTTAAAAGTTAACAGTCGGAGTGAACAACGATTCCATAAAGTCTTCCCTTGTTAGAAGTTAACATTCAGTGTGAGAAATGGTTCGACGAAGCTTCTGTAGTTAAAAGTTAAGACTCGGAGTGAACAGAGGTTCTATGAAGTCTCACCTTGCTAGAAGTTAACATTCAGTGTGAACACCGGTTCTACGAAGCTTCTCTACTTAAAAGTTAACACTTTGAGTGAACAGCGGTTCCATAAAATCTCCCATTGTTAGAAGTTAACATTCAGTGTGAACAACGGTTCCATAAAGTCTCCCCTTCTTAGAAGTAATCATTTAGCGTGAACAGTGGTTTCATGTTAGAAGTTAACATTCAGTGTGAACAGCGGTTCCATAAAGTCTTCTCTTGTTAGAAGTTAACATTCAGTTTCATTCCGACTGTTAACGTTTAACCAGAGAGACTTCATGGCACCACTGTTCACCAGTGGTTCCATGAAGTCTCTCTGGTTAAAAGTTAGCAGTCGGAGTGAACAGCGGTTCCATAAAGTCTCCCCTTGTTAAAGTTAACATTTGGAGTGAACAGCGGTTCCATTAAGTCTCCCCTTGTTAGAAGAGAAGTTAACATTCAGTGTGAGAAATGGTTCGACGAAGCTTCTGTAGTTAAAAGTTAAAACTCGGAGTGAACAGAGGTTCTATAAAGTCTCACCTTGCTAGAAGTTAACATTCAGTGTGAACACCGGTTCTACGAAGCTTCTCTACTTAAAAGTTAACACTCTGAGTGAACAGCGGTTCCATAAAATCTCCCATTGTTAGAAGTTAACATTCAGTGTGAACAACGTTTCCATAAAGTCTCCGCTTCTTAGAAGTTATCATTTAGCGTGAACAGTGGTTTCATGTTAGAAGTTAACATTCAGTGTGAACAGCGGTTCCATAAAGTCTTTCCTTGTTAGAAGTTAACATTCAGAGTGAACAGTGGTGCCATGAAGTCTCTCTGGTTAAACGTTAACAGTCGGAGTGAACAGTGGTTCCATGAAGTCTCTCTGGTTAAAAATTAGCAGTCGGAGTGAACAGCGGTTCCATAAAGTCTCCCCTTGTTAAACGTTAACACTCAGTGTGAACTGCGGTTCCATAAAGTCTCCCCTTCTTAGAAGTTATCATTTAGTGTGAACAGTGGTTTCATGCTAGAAGTTAACATTCACATTGAACAGTGGTTCCATGAAGTCTGTCTGGTTAAAAGTTAACACTCGGAGTGAACAGCGGTTCCATAATGTCTCCCCTTGTTAGAACTTAACATTCAGTGTGAACTGCGGTTCCATAAAGTCTTCCCTTGTTAGAAGTTAACATTCAGAGTGAACACTGGTTCCATGAAGTCTCTCTGGTTAAAAGTTAAAACTCGGAGTGAACAGCGGTTCCACAAAGTCTCCCCTTGTTATAAGTTAACATTCAGTGTGAGCAGTGGTTCCATGAATTCTCTCTGGTTAAAAGTTAATAGTAAGAATGAACAACTGACGGAAGAAAACTTTCAAACTGAATATCGAACAGAACAAAAGTTCGATAAACCATGTTAACATGTACCACGACCCGCATCAGTTACGATTATACACTGTATTATTCTACCATATCGTTCCTACACTGGGCAATTAATCCTATGTGTTTGTATAAAGCTCTATCTAACGATTATAGAGATTTTGAAATCAGTGAAGTTATTTAGCACTAGTTTGCTTCAGAAAAAACAGGCTTTAGATGATATTTTTTTCTTCTTTTGAATGCTGTACTATACGATTTGTATAAAATACGTTATTAAAAACAAAACCCTGAGTAATAGAAGATTTTCTAAACTCTCACTACTTTTGTGACTTGGAAACTCTCAATGCACTAGTTCTTGAAACAACAGTTTCTTATTGACATTCTGGTTGTTTAGAAAGTGTAGTTTCTTACTTATAATCAATAGTTTGTTACTTTACAAATATTATAGTTGCTTAGAAAAAATAGTTTCTTACTTATCAATGCTTTGGTTGCTTAGAAACAATAGTTTGTTACTTTACAAATATTCTAGTTCTTTAGAAACTAGTTTCTTACTTGTCAATGCTTTGGTTGTTTAGATACAGTAGTTTGTTACTTTACAAATATTTTAGTTATTTAGAAACAGTAGTTTCTTACTTGTCGATGCTTTGGTTGTTTAGAAACAGTAGTTTCTTACTCGTCAATGCTTTGGTTGCTAAGAAAAAGTAGTTTGTTACTTTACAAACACTTTAGATGTTTCGTGAGTACTGTTTCTTGAACAGTTATAAATCACAATACGGTTTTGGAATTCATGACGATAATTCTAATGAAAACCTACACTTTGTACGTGTGTATTTGATTCCGCAACCATGTAAACAGGTTAATTAATGTGGTAAATTGGTAACGAAAACGAAACTCGTAGCCCATTCGGACTACATTAAAAATTTACAGTAATTGACACAGTAGTTGAAGTCCAATTTATAACAGCATCCAACTTAGGTAATAAAAAAATTATGATACTTTCCCAGATCATAATAATAATATTAGTAGGGTAAACAGATCTTAATTCCAGAAAATCAGTGTGTAATGAATGTACCACTCTTTACTAACCTTATTTTCTGAGCGCACAACACAGGTTCACCTTCACACACGTTCCTAAACGCGGTATGACTCCCCTAGTGTTAGCTACAAAAAACAAAAGTTTTAAATTAGAACAAAATGCAGAAGCCGACTGCGTGTACTTGAAAGAAGGTTTCATGCCAACTGTTTCACAACTACAAGAGGATTTTTAGGGAAAAAAACTGCCGTGAATCAGAAACAAGAGATATGCTATTAAAAAAATCTAAAACGATTTTAGCTTCGTGGTGCGAGAGAAGCTCTAAATATTATTCATACGAGATGTTTCACGAGTTATTTTTAAAGCAAAATTTATCTATTTTCTCTATCATCTTCAGCATACCCTAGGTGGTCTACCAAAATAGATGGATTGGACATGTGGCTGGAAAACAGTACCTTTGGTTAGGAACTGGGCCAGAAGTTCTCTAACGCCAGTTTACAAGGTAATAAAGAATTTTTACAACAACATAAGTTAGAAGAAACAAAAAAAAAAACAATGGATGCAATAAATGGAAAAATTAATAGGTAAAATATTTTTGATAATATACCCTCTTTCAGCAGTTAAATCAGTCATTAATATTTCCTTCTCATTTCTGAGGTTCCATGAATATGACTGTTCTTCTCTATTCCTCGCTTCCTGCACCAACTTTCCTCTTTTAAGCATTTCATCTCCAATCCCTTTTGTAACGTCATCGAGTCAAGAGAGTCTCTGCCTGTCTCTCGCTCGTCTTCTTTCGATTTTACCCAATCAGAATCTTTGACAATCTTCCTTCATAACTAAGCAGTTAATTACCACAATTGAAACCCTCACAAAATAAAGTGAACGAATTTAACACGTCAAAACATGTTACCAGATTACTCCAGTAACGGTTTATTCACTCACAACAAATCTTTGAAACTACAATAGGACAACTTAGTTCTTGTTGTTGTTGGGTTTTTTCTCAATCTTTTCATTAACACCAAAAGCGATAATGTAAAGCATTTAAATAACACTGTTTTTTCTTATCTTTTTATGAAATGCTATCGAATGAAAGTTTGATCGCAGTCCTTATGAGAAAAGGACTTATTACAGTTGTTCACGAACATTGGCTTCCCTTGATGTGATTTACACATTTCACATATGCTTCTACAAGTTGGGAAAGTTTGGCTTAGATAAATAGAGAAACATACAAATAAGACCACATGAAACAGATTGATAAACAAGCAAATGAGATCAAATAAGAGACAGCTAAGCTAAACAGATGTAACGTATCTTTAGAATATAGAATAATGTGTAGAAGCTTTCCTTCGATAGCAACAAAGAATTTGAGCGGGTAGTCTGGGATAGATAGATATCAAACAAGAATAAATTTGGATGTTAACCAGGGAAGATGCAAGCCAGGGAGGCTTTCGTAAGGAAATAAAACTATCCTCGACATTTTCATGTTAGGAATGTGAATACTGGAGAGGGAAAATGTCCTAAGGGAATACACCTTCAACAACTCAAAGTACTTACATGTTTGGAATATGGATACTGATTAGGGAATAAAACCCATCTTCAACAACTGAAAGTACTTACATGTTTGGAATATGGATACTGATTAGGGAATAAAACCCATCTTCAACAACTGAAAGTACTTACATGTTTGGAATATGGATACTGATTAGGGAATAAAACCCATCTTCAACAACTGAAAGTACTTACATGTTTGAAATATGGATACTGGTGAGGGAATAAACCCATTTTCAACAACTGAAAGTACTTACATGTTTGGAATATGGATACTGGTGAGGGAATAAACCCATCTTCAACAACTGAAGGAATTTCCATGGTTGAACTAGCAAAACACATACTTTTAAGAAGTAAACAAATTATTCATGAAATGAGATAAAAATCATTTACTGAAGAAGGAGGTAACCTTTTTAAATGTAAATATGCTACAAATATTATATTATATTATATATTATAATGAGCGTCTACAATCCATTGCACTGCACCGAATCCAACAATTGGAAAGAAGTAACATTCATATTTATCAATAGCTTCTGGACAACCTGAGTAAATTCAGATTGGTATATCAAATTAGCTGCATCACTTATATTGCAGATCCCTCGTTTAAAAAATATATGTAATTATTTGGGAACCCACGCTGTTGTCGACAACTTCGACCTAATCTCGAGATTAAATAAACGCTACTCTTCCTTCACCTTCTATAGAGTTCCGGTAACAAGAAAACAAACAATACAATGATGGAAGAGCATTTTTGAGATGCCACAAGGGTAACAGCCACACGTCATTTTTGTTACAAATTCCCTGGTTATCTGTACCAAATGTTTGATGAACAATATTATAATTTTTGGTTTTTCGACAAAGTAATTATTGTTTCAGTTTTATTTGTTTTGAATTTCGCGCTACACGAGGGCTATCTGCACTAGCCGCCCCTAATTTAGCGGTGAAAGACTGGGGGAAAGCAGTTAGTCCTCATCACCCACCGTCAACTCTTGGCGGACTCAACGAATTCAACGAATAGTGGAATTGACCATTGCATTATAACACCCCTACGGCTGAAAGGGTGAGCATGTTTGGTGGGATGTGGATTCGAACCCGCGACCCTCAGATTTCGGGTACATCTCTTATAGCAAGTTTTTCGGTGCTTCAAGTTATGCCGCTTTGGAATTCTTTATGTGAAAAATAGCTTACTAACAGGGCCATCGTCATGGGTACAGAGTGGATCCCAAGCCATCAGAATTGGCCCAATGCACGCTATGACCATGTTTAAGGTTTTTTAGTTATATTTCTCTGGTATAAACCTACGGTACATTTAATATAAAACACTTATATCATCATTAAGTTACTTTATTGTATTAGTTCCTTAGATAATCGATATGTTCAGTAACAAAATAACATTTTCATTACGAATTATTAACTTTAAAACATTGTATTTTATGTATAAGATGCCCGACAATTATCTGGCTGTATTTAGCTTGTTTTGCATAAGCCCTTACATCCCATGTAACCGCCATAAAGGGCATGTAACTGAATTGAAGGGCCAAGTTGCAAGCGGGAGTCAATTATGTCACATATCGAGTATGTGGTAGAAGAACTGTTATTAATAAAGTGCACGCGAAACAGCTTCCAAGAAGTACAGAAAACCATTAAAGCAAAAAATTATAAAATAAAATTAAGAAAGGACACAACTAAATATGATAAATAATTTAGTAAATTGTATTAAAACAAATATTAACTTAATCATTAGACATGTGTTTTAATTCATTCTCATATATAAAATGAGTGCCAAGCTTAAAATATAGAAGTCTGAACTGACTAAAGGTTAGCAAGTAGTAAAAGGAAGTCCAAATATGACAAAAGTGTTCTTGATAGAGAGACTGTTGATTGTGTTGTAGCTTAAGTTTTTAATCTAGACAGAAGGAACTTTAACGTAATATGTCTGGAACTTTCTCCAAATTTTAGGAAATAATTTTACCATACATAAAAATTAGATGGGCTAGCATTAATTATTACGTTTTTTAGAGTGAGTTACTGAGTTAACAAACGTGTTAGTCAATTAAAGAGTAATCAGTGCATGATTTTTATCAGTTCGTATGTTTTCTGTGAGTCAGTTAGTTAGTTCAGTGAATACAACAAATAAATTAGTAAGTGGAATTTCTATTAGACGTAGTTTATTTGTGAAGTTAGGCCTAATGGTGAACGTTGATTTTGCTAACTGCGGAACTAGAATCTCAAAAAAAAATCTTTGCATTATTCATTTTACCGAATAATCCAAACGAGCCTGAACAAAATAAGTTACATCATTCCGAAACGGAAATTTTTATCTGAAGTAAGATTGATGACAAAGTTTGATTCCATAATGAATGAACGTGATTGTAGAATCATAAACAACGAAGCAAAACGTTGTTAGTTGAGTCCTGAATTGCAGAATGTATTCACACAGATGTTCATGAAAGAAGTGATTAATAAAGTTAGTATAAAATTGAAAAGTGTGAATTGCTATCCCATAATGTTGTAAGCCATCAAGAACGGTGAATATCCAGAGACGGAGGTAAATGTTGACCAAAACTAATTTTTTTCCGTTAATGTACATGCTTAACTCTGTGGTATTACGTGTATAACCAGCATAGCAAGAAAAGTTAGGACCGTTAATAACTGACGGTTTCTTGTCTCGGTTTACCAAAATTTAATTTTTTGCATTAACGTAAAAGCTTAGCTCTGTGGTATCCCGGGTATGACCAGCATAGCAGGAAAAGTAGGACCGTTAATAACTGACGGTTTCGTATCTCGGTTGACCAAAATTTAATTTTTTGCATTGACGTACAATCTTAGCTCTGTGGTATTCCGGGTATGACCAGTATAGCAGGAAAGTTAGGGCCGTTAATAACTTAAGGAGCCCGGCATGGCCAGATGGTTAGAGCGCTCGATTCACAATCAGAGGGTCGCGAGTTCGAATCCCCGTCACACCAAACATGCTCGCCCTTTCAGCCGTGGGGGCGTTATTATGTGACGGTCAATCCCACTATTCGTTGGTAAAAGAGTAGCCCAAGA